TTAAGAGGTAACCTCACAATGTAGACAAGATTTCGTTGAATCACTCCGCACACTGCTAAGTTGCTTTCTTCCTTCAGTGTTTACACCTTTTTGCCTTTTGTGGGCTTACTTTTCCTCTCCATATTCCATCTCAAAAAAAGTGAAAATATCAGAGATTAGATCATATCTAAAAGAAGTTGTATAAAACTTGGAAAATTTGGGCAGAATTCTGTAGAGAAATGCCATGTTAATATCAGAGACAAGCTAAGTTGTGTACATACAAAAGAAATGCCAAAAGCCTAAAAAGTTACCTGAAAATGAAAAGGCACCTAAACATTCATGAAACCAAACACATGTATGAATCAAGTGAGACTTGAAATTCAACTCAAACACATAAAAATCTTCCCAATACTGATAAATTTCAAATAAAATCTAACCCTAAAGGAAGTGTTGAAAACAATTTCAAATGAGGCAAAGACCTAAACAGGACATTTCTAAGCAAAAACAGAACAAGGTTCAAATACACCTACTCCCGAAAATCAAATTTCAAGACCAAAACAATCACAAGATTCGACGAAATCCGATTCCACATAATTGGAAAACTTTAAAATGCCAAAATAAAACCAATTCTATAGTGAAAACAATGGACTCTCACTAGACTAGCAAAATAATATTGAAAACGATACGAAAATTTTGACAAAAAAAAGCTGAAAGTGGAGTCTAACACTATGGCATCAACATAAAGACTCTATATAACTTGCTTTGGTCCATTGAAAAATAAATCCATCAAATGATTAACATTTTCACCTCATCAATTTATGTAATGACAAATGCCAAATAAAGACATTAAAATCTTACCAAGAAACCCAAGAGAGAGAAGCAAAGCAATGAAAACGAATGGCAATCCTACCAAGAAACCCATGGCCTGCAATCTGCCACTTAAATTAATATCTCTCTCTCTCACTTCCTTTCTTTGTTGTTTGTTTGATTCTTTCTCTCTACTCCTGCAGATTTTTTGTTACATTGAAGGAGAGCCTTCCACTGCGGAACAAAGAAAAAATTCAAAAAATAAAATAAAAATAAAAAACTCAGTGATTAGAGAGAAGAAGGGAAGAAAAGTGTCAAAACCCGTTTCTCTTATTGTGGAGATAATATACAAATTAAGGTAAAAAAATTAATGTGATAGATATTATTCATCATTAACACGTAAAAATTAAATAAATAATATTTTTTCTAAAAACAATAACTAAAACAAGTAAATTTTTCTATTGCATTACTGACCTGAATTTTCAGTTCCTGTAAAAACCTGACACCTTCAGAATTCTATCTTTGTAGTTGAAAGCATATGGGTTTTAAGTGAATATATTCGTGTTCATATTTTCAACAAGTCTAATAAGTTATACTTTGGTGTACAAATACCATCGGGAAGATTTCATTAATTACTGTGCTTGAACTCACTTCACATTGTGAACTTTCACAAGTATCAACTTTGTCATGATTGATATAAACCTTAAAACCTACCAAGAGAAACTTAGCATGAAGGAAACCATATGAAACCATAGCAAAAATAACCATTCAAAGTCCTATATGACAAGAACAGGCAAGTTAATTCGTTATGTTTTGATATGGAGGAATAAAATAAAATAAACCAATTTCATTGGCAATAAAATGTCATAAGCACATGAACATAATAAGTTTTATCTTATAGGCATATTGTCAAACACAATGTGTGCAAGGTATACATATTAATAAACACTGATTTAACACACAAAACGTACAAATCCAATACCAACATCTGCAAACAAAAGAAATTGAAAAACATGATCTTAAGTAAGAAACAAGTATTCATAGTGCTCTCCAAGTGATTGTAGGATGTCACTCACCTTGACAATCAATGTTGTAGCACCGAACATGTTTGGAGTGTCTACCCCATCGAGATAAGCTTTGATTTCTGGGATACCAGGTCCAACCGCAGTGGGTGTGAAACACACACAGAGAACAGCAGCAACCATGGTCAGAATAAAATTAACACCAGTAAAAAATATAAATCCCATCAGGTACCTGCATACACCAAGATGATTGCAAAGCATTTCTCAATTCCCAGCTCTAGCCAAGGTAAACATTTTTTTTTTTTGGGTGAAGGATATTTGAGAATTATCTGTTAGCTAAAATATTTCAAATGAGTTTCTTAATTTAGTGCAAGGATATAAAATACCTTTCTTCTTCTATGTAGCGAACCAACGGAGAGATGCTTGTACCCTGCAATATTCTCAACTGCAAGATTGATGAACGTGGCAATTATGCTAGTTAGAAGCCCAACAAGGAAAGCCAGCGTCCATTTTAAGAAAATATATTGCAATACTTGGACTTTTGATCTGCTTCTCCAGTCATGCTTGAAGAGATCATTCTCATTGATCCTGTATAAAAAGAATTTGCTGCATAAAGAAGAATGTGAAGAAGAAAAAGGAACATTAGAATGCAAGAACAGAGTAAGATGTTTTTACTCATAGTCCAAGCTCTCAATATGAGAGACCTCTTCATGAGTTGTAATAAAGGATTTGCATGGGTGAGTTGTAATAGATAACTCTGGAAAATAGGCAAGTAACAGGAGCACCGATCGGTCTTGGAAATTTCTAGGAAAAGTGATGAAATTTGTCTTCTTCTATTATGTATGTGGATGATTTGAGCCCACGTGCCCAAAATCTGCAAGGAAAGAGTTAGAAACCAAGCAAACAGGAGCGTTATATCACTGGAGGCGGCAGCGGTATACCACTCTTACACACTTTTTATATATGTTATAGATATATATCAACATAAATTACATATATAAAGCAGAAAAGGAAGATGAAAACATACTTTTAACCACGATCTTGCTTGCGATAGGGAAATTGAATAGTGAGGAGGAGGCATGAAGCCTTAAAGATTGGGTTAGTTTGAAATTTAAGAGATGTGACAATAATGGGGTGGGGAGTTACAGAGGAACCGAACCAAACTCCTGTATGTGTAGAGAGTAAATTGTGGATGCCTTGAAGCTCTGCTCATGATACACTATCAGGAGCTTTTAGATACTCATACTTTTTCAAGCATATATATATAGGTCATTAACAAATAAATTCATATCAATTCCATAAATAGATTATAATCAACAGGTAGCTTTGGTAACTAGTATCCATGTTAAGCTAGATTACCTCTCCTGCAGCATAGTCAATCAGAAAAACCTTGGTCAGCATCTTTAGTGGATGTTGCAGAAGTTTCACGTATCACAAGTGCTGATTCAGCAAGTTCTTCACTTCGTCAGATAGATTGGCAGTATGCACGCCTCACAGCAACGTTGCAGTAGTAGCAGCCAGCAGAATTAAAGATGAAGAACATCTAAGCAACAACGTAATCACTATTGTAGTGTGTTACCGAGTGGAAGCAGTAAACATGAAGCCATATTTTCTTTCTTTTGGTAACAAAAATTGAATTTCAACGCAATCACTATTATTTTAGTCAAACAATAATTCTATATTTAGAATTTAGTATGTTCAAATTTGTAAATCTACACTTACAAGGATAGATGCTTTTGATTTTATTAAAATCAAAACTTTACACACAACAACAAATGAATAGCATTAACTAATTAAATATGCACAATAATTTAATAATCAAAGATGGATAGCTGTTAAGTGTTAAAGTAGACTTGAATAAATGAGAAGTCAAAAACTGAAACTAGAAAATGGATTTAATTTTCATATGTAGCATTTCACATTGTGGAAGGAAAGGGAGTTCAAAATAATATTAAAAGGACAAAAGCTTAAAACACTGATTAGATATTATAATATTCTATAAAGTAGCATGAATTGTGAATATAGATTGAAAAACATGTAAATATTCTTGGGCCCCATGAAACCATGATAAATGAAGTATCTAGCAAGAAATATGAACCTGTAATGGCATAGGAGTGATGATAACTAGAAGAAACTTTAATAATTTCCTTGGAAAGTCTAGAAACTTTGAGGGGCTCCTGCATTAATAATACAAGCAAATTACATGGTCAATTCAAAAGGAACTCCATAGGAAACATTACAAATAACAATCTAAACAATCACATCTCTTTTTCCATTTTATTGGTACTAAAATAGTCGAAGAAGATAGTGAGTGAAGTTAACCAAAATAAACAGAAGTAGAAAAATAATATGTAGTTTGAGTGGGGAATTTATGCAAACATGTGTGAAGCATTGTAAAAAAACACAACCAAAACTGTGCCATCATCAAATAACATGACCGTCTTCATAAATATGCCTTATTTTAACCCATAACAATGCACAATGAAAAAGGGTTTAATTTTACCAACATCAGCCAAGCAATCACACACAACCATATAAATCATGTCAGAAAGTCCTGCCTAGAAGATAACATACATACTCTTAACAAACATTTTATCATCTTGTAATTCATACCCTAAGGCTACTCATCATACCCATGCTTCCATCCATTATGGTCCTTCAGCACCATCCAGAGCACAGCCTGCAAGGGTACCATCAATCAGAAACTACTTTACTGCACAATCATCCAATAGCTGGTTGCTACCTGTATTCACAAGAAATGCCCCTGCATAGATCAAGGCACTCCCCTGTAAGTGCAAGTTATAGGAATCCCAGTATTTTTCTTTATAAAATAAATGTACTAAACGGAAGAAACCCTGGAAAGTACCAGGCTTTATATGCTGCAAACAATCTGCATTAATAATTTGAATTGTTTCATTTGTCAAAGCACAGTGAAGAGAAATAAGGTCACTTGCAGCAAGTAAATCATTAAGGGTATCCATTCTTTGGGCAGGAGGGAACATCATTGAGGATCTACTCAACGTTCCTTTTCCCTGCATGAATGTAATTAAGGAAAAAATTAATTAGATGACACATTTCATTTTCCCTGTGTAATGTAATTAAGGGTAATTAATTAGATTAAGTCATATATATTAGACGACAAATATCCAATACATGACAGGAACATCAAATTCAAAAAGCCAAAAAGAAGCACATTTAGTTCTCAAAAAACATATATTTAATGCCTCTGCTAATACAAATAAACAAAACTTAATGTACTAACAACACTTCGCTGAAAAAGATTTCTAGCACTTGAGATTCTTCTCAACTTTTTGCTTTTACAAAAAAACCTCTAAGATTTCCAACGATCAATAGACTAGATGCTCTCAAATGACAACTCTAATCAATTCAGTCACATATAACTATTTCTTAGTTCCAAGACAATAGATTGAACAACTCTAATACCTAACTAGGCCCGTCTCTTGTTGGGATTTTTATAGAGCTTTAATTTAAGTTTCGAAGTCAAGCTATTTCAGAAAACTACAGTATGAAATCTCATTGAATTTTCTTATTTCCTTTTCTCAGCAACCAAACAAAAAATGAACTACAACAGAGAAAGAAGAAGAAGAAAAAAAACACAACAAATCAAAGCTATAAAAAAGTGATTAATCAACTTATTCTCAGAGCTCAATCACTACAGATCCCGGACTAGAACCCCTACAAAATCCAACGAAACAAACAGCTGAACATAAAAAATATATATAATTTAACAACACATCAAATTGAACATGAATTCTGAAAAAATAAAGAAGGAACAGAATGCATCAATCAATAAAAACTGATACAGAGAAAAATTCAAAAAAATAAATAAATAAAGCCAAAAATTAATTAGAGAACAGGGGCTAAAATTCAAAAGAAGAAATTGAGGAGAGTACCTTCAAGATTCATGTTAGTCATATTACTGTGAGAGACAGATAGGGAGAGCAAAGAGACCGATCAGTGTTTATGAAGGGGCTAGGGCAAATATAAGGAAAAGGGGGAAAAATTATAAATGTTAGGGTTTACCGAGAGAGAGAAATATGAGGATATACATACCAGTTATTATGGAGAGGCCAGTGACGACAAGAAGCCATGCTCACCGGCGGTGGTGACAGAAGGAGAGAGGAGATGAGTTGCGCGAAGGTGGGGAAAACTAAGGAAGGTGATGAATCTCACGCAGAAAATCAGTAGAGTTGGCTATGAAAAACAATTCAACACAATTTTTAGGGTTTTTTTTTTTGAAAAAATTAAAATTGATTTGAGAGCAATAAAAATCAAAACTATATTTTTAAAATTTTAAAAAGTATTTATGACTTAAAAGATAAAATTATACCAAAATAATAAGTATTTTTTATTTTTTCACCCAATTTTTTTTTTGTTTTTTAGAAAAAGAAAGTTGAAACTAGTTTCTGAAAATAAAACCCAACATATTGATATTGATAATCTAACCACATTCTTTGAAAAAAGTTTAAATTATCTCCAATTAGTCATCTTAACTTAAAAGTGTGTTTGGGCTTAATGGGTTCATTTTGTGATCTAATTCAATAATCACTTTAATTTTACAATTCAGTAACTAGAATGTTTAAAACTCTTTGAAAAGTTATAATAAAAACACAATCACTAAATTACTTTATTTCACTAGCAAAACTTTTACCGACGAATAGTGTTATCGTCGCTAAATGGTTAACTCTTTACCCACGCCAATTTGTCGTCACCAGAAGTAAGCACACTAATAGCAACGCTCATTGTGTTGCTAAAATATAAGTCCCGTAGCTAAAAGTTTTGAAATTTTGGTGCGAACTAAAAATTTTGGCGCTTAGTGAATGTTATGCTTTTTTAGCGACAGTATCAAATTGCGTTGGTAAAGGTATACTTTTACCAACGAAATTGATCACTGTGTTGCCAAAAATATATTTTTGGCGATGAAAAATTGACGTCGTCGCCAAAAGTAGTCGCCAAAAGTGCAATTTCTTGTAGTGAGATTCATTCCTTTGTACTCAACCTTTTACATGCTTTTCTGTAGAAATTTAAAGTTTTTTCTAAACATATTAATTTTTTTCATCTTATATTTTTGCTAAAAAATATTTTAACAATTGATAAAAAAAACCACTTTCCAAGCATGCCCTCAGTATAATTAATTTATTAATATATATTTGTTTGACACTTTAATCATGGCCTCAAGAATTACGGTTGGTCATGGGTTGCTTTTGTATGTAAAGTGTCAAAAGAAGATAATTGAGTTTTTTTATTTTATTATTGAGAACATGGTGTTGAGATCAACAACACAATCATACGTACCACTAAATGATAAGGAGTCAACAATACAATCATACATACCACTAAATGATATGGAGGCCCAGTTTGTTAATAGATTATTTTAATAATTTTTTAATTTTTTATAAAAAGATATATAAAAAAAAAAAGAGATTAATATGATAATTTATAATGATTTTTTTAACTTTTTAACTAAAATGTATAGTTAACAAGTGAGGCCGGAATATGAAAAATATTTCGGGTGTACAATACACATCACATGTAATCTGAATATAAAATTATATAAATTTTCATAAATTTACATAAGTGATCTCGTAAAAAATAGGTAAGTTGAATATAAATTCATGTAAGTTAGTAAAAACTTACGTGATTTTGTGATGTATGTAATTTTTTGTCCAATTTATATATTTTTGTGAAAATTACTTATGTAAATTTATGAAAACTTATATAATTTTGTATTAAAATTACGCACTATACACTAAAAAAATTTCAATCATTTTAATATAAAGAATCTGTTAAAATGCCTTTAACTAAAAAAAATAACAAAGTCATATTACACTGATACATTATTTTATATAAATTTCGATAGAGTAGCATTTTTCTAATAACAAACAGGATTGCTTCAATGTCTTTGTAAATCTTCTCATCAATACAAATAGTAATATTATACAGAATAATATGATAAATTTTAATTTTATTATTTTAAAATTAAAAAAAAAACTCATCAAAATTACTTATATTTTTAAAATTGTCACCACCATGTCATTTTTGTCTAGAATTCCGTATAAAAATCATGCAAGCATATCATGCTTGGATAAAAAAATTACGGACAAATACAATAAAATCTCTTTTAGTAAAGTGTAGATGGAAGGGGACTTGGCATGGCTACTATCCACAAATTATTAGATTGTATGTAAATAATGAATTTAGATAAAAAAAAATTAAAAGAAATAAAGAAAATGTAAATAAAATATAAATTATTATTATTATTATTATTATTTCCTTTATATATTTTTTTTTATAAATTATTATTATTATTATTATTATTTCCTTTATATTTTTTTTTTAAAAAAAAAATTATGATCTGAATCTATGATTCAAACATAAAAAGATAAAAAATAAAAAGTTTTAAATTTTAAAATAATTAATTAAGAGGATAAGGATGAAGACATTTCCGACAAACCCCTCAACACGTGATTCATCTGAAGAGTTATCGGATTCGGGTCAGATTTCCTGTAATCCGAATTCGAACAGATTTTAAAGCTATCCAAATTGAAAAGGTAATGTTTGAGATATCAAATTTTCTATTACATAAATGATCAAATGTTTTACATGGGTGTAGAATTTATATGAGACATTTGATCATTTATTTTGTACAAAATTTAGAACCTATAGCATTTTTTAAATCGAAATTCAATCAAATTACAATAAAGGCTTCATTTGGAAGCTAAAAGGTCATTTGGCATTAGGTAATATAGTTAACTTTTTTGTATTGAGATTTTTTTAGCTTGACTTTTTTAGTCTCGTTTGGTTTTTGTTTTGGGACTTTTTTTACTTTTATGAGAGAAAAAGTATAATAATTATGGATAAAAAGTAGTATTTTATTTTATTGGCTTATATAACCTATTTTTCTTTTTGTGCTTTTTTAGCTCCAATGAGAAAACCAAACGAGAGTTAAATATTTTAGTTAAAAAGTCACTATAAATTATCACATAACCCTTTCTATTTTTCTATATATATTTTTTTTTGTAAAAAATCAAAAAATTATTAAAACAACCTATTTAATTCAGTTGATCCAAATATAAAATCCCAAATTCGGTCCAATCCAAGTTATTATGAAAATAAAAAATGGGTTGATAGTGGGATCAGATCAAATTAAAGGTATCCGAACCAATCTGGCAATAATTCCATCCGTTGACGAGCATAATGTTTGAGATTTACATTTTTTGTGGTTTTTTTGTTTTGTTTTTAGTAAATCATTTTTGAAAATTTTTAAAAAGTTTTAGACTTTTGGTTATAGTTGACTAGACGGAAAGAAAAGTTAAAAAAATAAAATAAAACAAAAATAAATAAATTGAAAAAGAAATTTAGACAGGATAAATAAAAAAAATTAGTTGGTTTTTGGACATGTTTTTTGGTTTTTTTAATTTTTATTTTATTTTTTAAATAGCTATGCTCCAAACCCCCCACAACCTCCACACCCCCACAGCATTTGAGAGAGAGAGAGAGAGAGGGGGAGGGGGGGAGAGAGAGAGAGAGAGAGGGAAAAGAAAAGAACAAAACAAAAAACAAATTGAATAGTCACAAATCAATTAGGGATTGTGGGATTATCAAAAATGAAGATCTCAAGTATTTTTCTTTTTTAAATTTGTCTGTACAAGATGGATAAGAAAAATATAAGATTTTGACATAATTTTTTTAAAAAAAATATAAAAGACAAAAAAAAAATGTTAGTTTTTAAGTGTATGCCAAACATAAATTGCTTTTTTATTAATAAATTTAAAACAATAATACATTGTGAAAGATAAGAATTGTATAATTGTTCAAGGGAGAATCACTCTACAGTAGAGAATAGAAGAAAGAAAATTACATAAATATAGACGGATGTAACCAACAGAGTTTGAGTTGCACCTATACATCTTAAACATATAAATATTTATATTAAAATAAAAACAAATAACCTAAAAATTTAAAATAAAATATTAAAGGGCCAAACAAATAACTTAATAATCTAACAAAAATTATAAATTACAAACAACAAAAAATCGAGTGATAACTAAATTATTGATTTTTTCACCCATATAATTTGAAAAGACAAGATTTGTATCATATCAATTATCATTGTTAAAATCGTTCCATCAAACTCCATTATTACCACCAGGGTTGGTGGCTTGGTGGAGGATGCGGCACATTCTCTAGTTAAGAGTCAGGATCGATTTCTGGGAGGGGCGTTTGAAATCTCTCTTGAGAACACGCTTATACTCCCCTCGAACCCTGTCATCTGCTGCGGCGTGTGATTGCTCTCCATTAGTACCTTGATGGTGTATTCCTCACTTGGTAGGAATTAATTCCTAACTGACAATCGACTACCCTGAGACTACGGTACAACGGGACCATGATAATACCACAGAGCCCTTTTCTTAAAAGTAAAAAAAAAAACTCTATTATAACCACTGTCATACTTTCGACACCATCGCAATATATTTGTGCAAATTATTTTTTCTGTCCCGCTATTAATTAATTTTTCGTTATTTATTGATGGATATGTTCCATCAATCCAAAAAAAAAACAAGTCTTCTTCATCTATCTATCTATACTATTATAAAGTGAACAGAAACTTTGGTGTCCTGAATGCCATGTGGCAGTATTTGTTATTTTTTAAAAAAAAAGTTAAACAAAGAGATGGGCAAGGCTTGAACCCATGACCATGGATTTAAGTACAAGAACTTATACCACTTAAGCTAAGTACACATTATAGTATTAATTTCATTATTATTTTTTTTATTCCTACTTATTTAAATTGCACACACATTGTGTGTGTGCCACCCACTAGTCTCAAATAAAAAGCATCCACCAAATTGGAGCCACGTTTCTCAGCATTAAAGAATATCATCCACACACACCATATATTATCTATCAATCTCCATCCCACCAAACCAAGGCATGAGTATGATATGAACCATGACTTGCAGATGGATTAATTTTTTTTATTTAATCATTAATAAAATACAAAATAAATAAATAAATAAAACGTATATTAATAGTCTGAAATTTAATTTAAATATGGATTCTCACCGCTTCAAAGACAACTCTAACTCCAAATTTAAGATTATTTAATTTTTCTTTAAATAAATATAATTTAATTATATAATTATTGACATTTAGTAGTCAATTTAATAATTTAATTTTTCAGATGAATTATTTGTTTGATTTGATCAACTAAAGTGAACCCATTTTCGATCCAGAAATTGCTCTATATATATGGTTCATACTTCATTAGTTTTCTTCCAACACTACTCAACAACACTAAAATCAAGAAAAAGAAGAAGAAGAAGATGCACAACCATCCACCACCACCACCGGATCCACACCACCACCACCCGGGGCCACCGCCGCCGCCGCACCACCACGATCCACCCCATGCCCTGCACCAGCCAGGTCCTCCTCCTCACCATGAACCACCGCCTCCACCTCCTCACCACCACGGACCGCCACCACCTGAGTTCGGCCACCCTCATCCGGGGCCCCATGCAGCTCCCCCAGGTGGGCCAGGTCACCCGGAGCCACACAAGCCACCTCCACCTCATCACCACCACTAAATCATAATAATGGGCTCTTCAAAAGCTTGTATGTGCCACTCTTGGATTTATTATATGTGGCCTATTGTGTTGTGTTGTGTTATGTTATAACTTATGTTGCTTTGATGATAATTATAATAATAACATGAAGTAGTATGTGTGATAATATGATTTACCTTTTCAAATAAATAGTTTTCCTTTCTCTCTTATTTTCCCCCAAAACTGGTTTGAGAAAATCTGTTTTGGATTTTTTTCTATTTGTGAATGGAAATCTTAAATTTGTGAATGAATGGTGCACCAAATAGAAAAGGGAAGAGAAAATTAATGAAATTGAACACAAATTCAAGATTCAAATAGCAAAAGAGAAACTTTCATGGGACTGAAGAAGGCAACTACTTCCATAATTGGTGATCTGGTGACATAAATTAGTCCTCTATATTTATTATGATGTGAGATTGATTTACTAATTTGGAGTTTTAATGCATTTAATGTGAAAATTCATCATCTAAAATGGAGGAATGTTAAAAGTAGTGAATTTTACGATGCTTTTGTAGGGCTTGTGTGATCTTAGTACTTTTTAGAAATGATAAAATTCAAAATTGATTTTTTTAATTTTTTTTTTTTGACCTTTTACAAAAAAATAAAAAATAAATAAAAAGAATAGAATAATATTTTGTATTGACTTTGTAACTAATTTAATTTGTTCCCAAACATTTATGACAAACCACTTTAAGAAGATTATAGACAAAATTTTGATGTTTGTAAATTTTAGTTATGTTAAGCCATTAACATTCTCTCTTATTCAACCCACAAGTCGAACGGAACATTCTTCATGATAGAGGTTTAAGTCACAAAACAATCTAGGTAGAAATGAATCCTTTGCAAATCTCATTTTAGTAGGAGTCTGCATTTTGCAGGGTCGTCTGTTCTTTATTCAACCAACAAATCAAAACAATTATAAATATACAAACAAAAGAGCTAACAATGGATATTACAATTCAAGAATCACAATCTGTATACAAATTATAGTCATACACCACTCTGGCATATACAAACCCAAACTTTCCCACTCAAAAATTTCTTCTTGTTTCTCCCATTTTCTTGACAACCAAGTGGGACAATAATGACAGATGAACAAAGAATGTTGTCTCTACTACACATGTACAACAGGACACCAGAAAAGAGCCAATTATCATCATCATCACCCGCTAAGTACACATTATCATGGTTTTAAATAACGGTAACAGTATAAATACTGGTATCAACAATATGGTCATATATTTATTGGTGTCCAAAATCCAAATCCCGATACGTACATATCAGTTGATATTTAAAACCCTGCTCCTTCTAACAGAAATTTGAGGTTTTGAAGCCCCTCTGCAGAAATGCTTCTCCTGAATCTCGGCCTTCGCACCACCACGTGAGGCGGTGGCTCTGAATGAAAACAAACCATCACGACAGTGAGATTGTCTATTGCTCCTCGCTTTATTGCTTCCTCTACTATTTGCTTGCAACACAACTTCACATTGTTGTGTTCTTGGAGTTTCCTCCGGGCAAAGTCCACCGCGTTTTGGCTTCTAAACACATCCCATACTCCGTCACTACCAATTATCAAAAACTCGTCTTCTTTTGACAGTGTCACCAACTTGACTTCAGGTTCAGCAATCAACGGTCCACCCTTTTCGCTAATTTCCTTTAGTCCAATCATATGCCAATCACCTAGGGCCCGGGTCACGCCCAATTGGCCATTCAAGTATCCGTCATCAATAAATCCCCCCAAAGACTCGATCCTTATCCTTTCATTATTGCAGCATGGCCTGTGATCTTTCGACATCTCTATAGCCATCCCACGTCGAGACAAAACTGCCCGGCAATCTCCGGCATTAGCTACGAGTAAAGATCTGTTCAAATTGACATATAACGTAATTTAGCAAATGCTATGCAACAACACATGAAGGACGCATCAGTTCTCAAACTGAATGGGACTATTTCAACGTCCCTATAACTGTAACTGTCCCGTTCATTTTTTTTTTTTTTTTTCATATGCTTTCATATTGAAATTCACATTCTTGATGCAGGCCTCTGAGAAAATGGTACACCATCTTACAAACCAAAATTTAAAGAAAGAAAAAAATGAAATTGAAGAGACTGTTTCCGTAATTGAACCAGCAACTGAACCCGCACCACGAGGATGCTAACGGAATGTCTTACCATTGGGCCAAGATATATGGTGTAATCCTATATTTTCCTTGATGGTTCCATTCAACATGTTGAAATTTCTTCATTGAAATACTATGAAAAAACTGAAGCACTCCTTCAAATTCAAGGGATGTCTCTCCTCACAAAGCTACTAACAAAAATGAGTTATGAGTTCAAAACATTATGTGCATAAAAAGACGATAAACTTTAAAATTTAGAATTTTCAGAAACAATACTTAGAATTATTCATGGTCCATAAGCATGGTGTAATTTCTACACTGAAATGAGTCAACTGTGTCATTCAAATTCAGGGGATGCTCAAACACGGAGATTTTATGCCTCTTTTTTTTTTCTTTTTTTTTAAATGTAGTTCAGTAATATAAATGTACATGACTTTGATTGAAACACAAAGCTTAGTTTGGTTTGGTTAGTAATTTAAATGACTTCCTTTAGTTGACCTAAGTTTATCCTCTAACTGGTTGCAACCAATTATATATGTACATATTTCAAAACCAGAGTCTATTTATCAATGCAAAGAAATGGGTTAACAAAATTATCATATTATGAAGGAAAGAAACAAATAGAAGAATAGGAGCAGCTTACCTCCCAAAAATCATTGCAGTGAGTGCTGTTGTGCCAGAAGAGAGGGCAGACTCAAGAGTGCACGACTTTGCAAAGGCAGCATCAGTCTCCATGAACGACCTCCTGACCACTTTCTCAAGTTCTAAAGGGAAATCAGCATCCTCAACTATGACCCTTGGTAAGTGGTCACGCACAAACTGCGCTGCACCCTTCCCCTCATGCCCATCAAACACCTATTATTGAAAACCAACAGCAAATATCCATTAACAGAATGATATGTCCATAATTGTATGTACTATGAAAACTAGTATTTTATTCCAAGGAGCATCATGGGCAACCGATAATCCTCATTTTGTCTCAACGTAATATCTAATGAAGATGACAAGTGTTTGATTGATGAAACAGCAGCCACTCTCATGGCTTAGTTGAATATTGAGGTACATGAAAAATACATAATAATGTAATTTTTTTATAGATATGTTCAAATATTATGTGGCAATCAGACTCCTTGCAAGATAGTGTGTAGTCCAATTTAACCTCACTTGATCGATACACAACCTAACAATGTTCCAATTCTAGCTAATTGGTACCACTTATCCACATCTTAGTAGAATGAAGATGGATAATATCTGTATCAAATCCTAATTGTTTCTGAATTTGAATTCTTGAGTTTCTAGTTATCGAAAGCATAGAAAAAGAAAGAGGCTTGTCTCCAGTCCAAGGGTCCAGTTTCCATGGCTGTGGGCTCATTACGAGCCCGTTTTGGTGATCCGAACAGTTCAAATTATAGGTCTCGTTGAGTATATCATCCAGGATTATATCACATTTCTTTTTAAAAATAAAAATAAAAATAAAATGTAAACAACAAATACGATTTCGAAAATAGACTATCTATTTTTTTATACAAATATAAACCTACTATATGGTTATCGATATCTAATCAACTTAATTTTTTTGTGATAATTGACAATCCTACAAGTTAAATATTTCAGATCACCAAGACGAGCCCAAGGTGGGCCCACCCCCATGAACGCTTGACCCTCCAATCCAAAACTTAGAATGGAGACAAGCTTGATTCTAGAAAAGAAAATACCCCCTTCCCTCTTCCTGAAGAAAAGGAAAAAAAAGAGGAAAAAGACGTAAAAGGAAAAGTAAGAATGCAACTTCGTAATGCAACCATTTCTCAAGTACAAAGTTCAAACCATTTAAAAACTCATAATAAGAAATACTTATAACTAATAATCATGGTTATTTGGGTAAAAAAAAAAAGAGCAGCAACAATAATCTGAAGTGTGACTTCTTTAAAACCTTACCAAAAACTATGAATGACTTCATTAACCACTGGCTAGACAATCAAAAGACGAACAATAGACAATCAAAGTGGGTTAAAGAACTTACACCATAGAAGGAGATCACTTCTTCACTGTGACCAAAATTCTTAGCTAGGTCCGTGATGCAAATGTGAGTATCCTCCATATCAGAACGGGCTCCAATATCAGACCACTCTCCAGAACGGATAGCAGGGATGAAATTATTTAACGGGTTTTGTCTTCTGTCAACAACAACTGCATCTTCACAAATGCTTTCCAGCTGAAAAAAAATAAAGGGAGTAATTAGGAAAGAAAAATTCCAACTAGAAAAACACATTCTCTACAAAACAATGTACACAAAAATAAATCGGGACAATCCTGGGACTTTCTTCTTTAAAATGGGTCTTGATTTTTAAGAAATCTTAAGAACCTAATATGAATTGATACTCTAATAAAGTTGACTTGAAAAAAACAAATCAAGCAGTGTTTCTAACAAGGAGGCTATGGAATTTCAAAGAAGTGCCCTCAATTAGTTAAATATAAAAAATGAGAGCAAGGTCACAAAAATAAAAATTCTCAGAATGAAACTCAAAGTTTCAATCACCCACTTTGTCTCACTGTTTGGATTTTGCTAAAAAAGACACCATTTTTTGGCTTAAAAAAAAAAAAAAAAAAAAAAAAAAGCATTTTGGTTTCGACCATGAAAAAAAAAAAATTGGCATTTTGGTTTCGACCATGACAAAGGGAAGAAAGCAACTTTTTTAACAGAAACCTCCCCTATTTATAGTGATAAAAAAACACATTTTTTTTTCCAAAATTTTTTGCAAAAAAAAAAGAGTCAAAAATAGGGTGGCTTCAACCAGATCATCATTTATTATGAATGAAAAATGAAGTACAATTCAAAAATTGAAATAGTTTCACAATCACACAACCAAATCAATTTCAATTAATCCATTGCCTAAAATGATCCCAGAACACAATAATTAGGAACAACTACAAAATTAATTAACCTCAGTTACATCACAAGTAATGAATAAATTAACTAATACTACTGTGATCTTTGAAATATAAATTTCATAACACTTTAAACACTCATATCACACATTTAAATAAATAATACACATTGTTAGGAAAATAAGGATAATTAGGCAAATTGGCAAGGTAAGAGGAAGAGTAATTAAAGAGAAAATCAACTCCATTAACACTGTTTAAAAGTTGTCGTTATTGCAAGGGAGATCAATGTAATTTCATCAAAATTGTGAAACTTAACTGTAATTACCTAATTACTCAATATAATTTAGTACCCCTATATCTAATGATAATATTCACAAACAAAAACCCAAGTAACGAAAACCCAACTTCAATCAGCAAAAAAATAAAAATAAAATACCCAGAAACGATTAGAAACAAATGGGTGTTGAGATAGATTGAAGACTTACAGGAAACGAATTTCCGAGAGATATCTGATCAGAAGAAGCGTGTTTTTGGCCAAAATCCATGTGGGTATGAGGCAACAATTCAGAATACAAAGGACAGGAGGTCTTGCCTATTACTGCCTCTGTATCAACTTGCTCTGCGTCTTGCAGACACATGAAGGCTAGTCTTCGTTTCACTTTCTAAGCAACTTCCACAGAGAAAATATGAGAGGAAAATAATGTATATGATAATTATTGGAGAGAAGATTCTGGGAATATATTGAAAGCTTTGAGGAGAGAGATACATATATATGAAGGCTCTGTTCGTGTAGTAGTTTTATAGATGGAACAGTGTTTTGAGAGAGAGAGAGAGAGAGAGAGAGAGAGAGAGAAGATTCACGGATTTTTTTGTGGATGCGTGGCTGTGTTACAGATTTTTCGGTCACATGGCCCTTCATATAGTTTTTTTTTTTTTAAAAAAAAAAATTTCGGCGGTGCAAATAGAAGAAATTTTTATATGTTGGAGGGTATCACTGGAAATTAATTTTTACATGTAGTGGTGTAATAAATTTTAAAAAATGAAACTTTTTAATAATTTTTTTTTGGTTAAAACCTCGTCTTTTCATAGAAGGCCTAAATTTTATGTTTGGTCAGGTCTTAGGTTAAAATTTGTTAGTTAATATATATAAGAATAAATCTTAAATATATTTTTTAAAATTTGTTTAAAATATAAATAGTTTCATATGTAGTTTTAAAAATTATAAATTTCTTTTGTCAAAATTACTTGAATTGTTAATTGAAATATATTTCTGACATTAATAAAAATTATTAATAAACTGAATAATTTATTAATAAAATAAAATATTTATGCGATTCGAAACTTGAAGAGATGTAATGTGATGTGATTTTCAAAATTACATGGGACAATTTTTATTTTAAGCAAATTTTAATAGTGTATTTGTAATTTACCCTATATATAATTCTATATAATTTTTTTTTAAAAAAAAACATAAAAGTATATCTACAACAAAAATATTTTGAAACTCTAATTTTTGAGTTCTAATAGCTCTAATGTGTACGTGGGACTCATCTGATGTAATGTTTTGGTCTCTTTTTTTTTTTTGTTGGACTTTTTACAATTAGAGGTCTAATTTTAAAGGGATGTATCATTATTGTTTTAATCCCTATAAATATAAAAAAAAAAAATTATCATTTTCACGCCTATATCACCTCCAAAAAGGATGTATTTATACAATTTTTATAACTGAAAGATTAATATATACCAATTCATAAATGAATAGTGTAAAACAATAATTAAAAAAATCTTGATACAATTAACTTTTTTTAATAACCACGTTACAATCACATCCACTTATTTAATAATTCTAATATTGAATAATAATTGTATTGGTAATGAATGTGCCATGGAGTTGAAAGTGATGTCGTGTGCACCTAATTTGAACAAAAAGACATGTAATATGTGAAGATGATGTAAGACATTTACACTAGATTTATTTATTTATTTTAACCTTTTGTAAAAGGAGAAGATATTGATTCTCTAATGGTGTGTCACTAAAAATATGCACAGATAAAATCAAGCCCTCCTCTTTCATGTTCAATGGTCCAACATTGTTTTTGTTTGGTATTTGCAAAATGCAAAACAGTCACTAAGCCAAAAGAAGGGTTATTACGTCATCTATTTGGGTGATTTAGGAAGTTGGTTAAAAACTAATTTTTTGATTTTTTTATATGAGAGTTAATACAAGTCAAAATAAGTTGAAAGTTAACTTTTGACTTTTTTAACTTATTCTCAAATGCCCGCTTTATAATAATTTGTCTGTTGTTGCAACTCAGGTAGGTATCATGTTAGGAGAGTTTGGACATTGTTGGTACATGTTTGAAAGTAGATTCACACATCTGAATTAAAAAAAATAAAATAAATAAAGGTGTGAATATAAATTTTAAATAATGTGTGTTGGGTCATGGTATTGCATTTTCTCCCGAATTGGGCCATATTGTTGCGACTCATTGTTTGGGCCTCAGATACCTTGTGTTACAGTCATAAGTAGACTCCATTGGGATCAAGGCAACGATGCAGTAGGCTTGCACGAAGAATTCTGATGCAAAGAAAAAAAAAAATCATAAATAACTCTCAAATTCTAGGTGCATGGAGCATGTTGTGCCTGCACCGTGGTGTCTCGATGGAGTTGGTGGCTTTTGATTTTGTTCAATAACTCTTGCCAAGGTAAATAGGAATGGCAATGGAGGATGGTTTTAGTCCCCCCCTCCTCGTCTCTCTATTGGGACAGGATAGTGATGGAAAAGGAAAAATCAGAATGATGCAAGAACAGAAAAGTGTCAAGATAATTTGTCACACCATTAGATGGAGACAGCAATATGCAAAAGAGATGATATAGCATATGAGATGATAAATATTAATAAATAAAGAGAGCTAAAAATACTTAAAATGTGTAGGAGAGGGTTCAAGAAAGGAGTTGGAAAATTCAAAGATCTTCAAAGATCCTTGAAGAACAACTTCGAATTCTCTAGAAGAAATGATGAGAGGCTTAGATTCTTCAATAATCTCAACTTAGGAACACAACAACAAAGGAGATGATGGAGATAAGAGATTGGGTGAAGAAGAAGGCAAAATGGCTAGAGAATAGAATAATGGCAAGGCTCTCCCATGGATCTCCCACTTTCACTCTCAAGGTTGATAATGGAGAAGGGAAATTAGTTCTTTCCCAAGAGTTAAAAATCTCCAAAATCCATCCCTTGTAAAGCTATGGGTGGGTGCTATTTATAGGCACCTCATGATGTAGGATGGAGCCCATGTGCAAGGCACATGGGAGATATTCTCTCTAACCACCTTGTCCGAGGAGGTGACCTCTCCGAGGAGGAGACTTCTCCGAGGATGAGAAAAACCCCGAAAGGAGATCAACCCCTCGGCGAACCCTTCTTCTTAGCCACACCTAACCAATGATCCCCAATCATCCCAAAGGGTCAGGGGTAGTCCCAGAGGACGTCCTGCCGCAAAATATTACCGAGTCTCATGGACCCCCCCGGGATCGTGCCACCTCGACCCGGGTATAGGCTAGTTTAACCGAAGAGTGAATTTATCTCCACTCACCGTCCTCGGGATCGGGTCCTTTGTTCAAACTCCATTACGCTCATGGTTCTGGTGCGTAGATACCGGAAAGCTCCGAGCCCGCAAGTATTCTGGGACTCATTAACGGAGCAACTTCTAGATTGCGTCTGAACCCGTTCGAAGCCAAGTATTTCGGACCTCTAAGTTCGTGGATCCGAACCCCTTCGAGGCTTAGAACGATTCAGCCCATTTGATGGCGATAAATCTGGACCCACCGATTCTTGGACTTGCAATAAATTCGGGCCCACTAATCTTGGACTTGTGATAAATTCTAATTTAATGGGCTCAAATTAGCCCCTCTTACAAACAGAAAAGGCCAATCCAGTTAAGATAAACAATGGCTAGCGGTGAGTGATTTATCAAATCCAACTACACCATTCATTCATATAACCTCCCAATTGCATATTTCCCATATCAATTTCAATATTTATACAAAATAATTATTGAGCACAAATTAGGGCAATTTTTTCCATTTTTCAAATATTAACCTCAAGTTCAAATTTCATCATTTCAACCCATATAACCTCACATTCAATACCCCATATATATGTTCATGGAGCCCAATATAAAAACCCATCTTTCAATTTTGGATCCAAACCCTAACTTCACCAAAACCTTCCTAAATCCCACCATTTATATATAACAACAAATACCTAGGTTAAAAATAATAACAAGGTGTAGAATATCCCTATCTCAAGTGTAGAAGCTCAAAGGAGATGATGAAGAACTTAAAAAATGCTCCAAATTCAATTTTGTTCGGATTAAGAGAAAGCCCACAAGATGCTCTAACTCTTTAACAAAGGGACTAGAGTTGAGAGGTGCTTGGATCTTGAAGTATTTGTAGAGAGATAGAGAGAGAAAACTTTCGAGAGAGAGAATGTCGTATTAGGGTTTTGAGTGAAAAAAGATACAAAAATGCTCTGATGCGAACTGATATACGCGATCTTCGCTCGAGCGAAGAGTGGTCGCTCAAGCAACCAGAGCAACCAGACACAACAAATGACCTCACTCGAGCGCAAGAAGTGTTGCTCGAGCGTAGAATACATGCTTTCAGGTATTTCACAGACGCACACCTTCGCTCGAGTGCAAGAAGCCTCGCTCGAGCGAAGAACTTCATATTTCCAGAAATGCTGCGTTTGGGAAGGAAACCTAAGAATCCTCAAACTCGCTCGAGCGCAAGAAACCTCGCTCGAACGAAGAAACAAATTACACAAGGCTCGCTCGAGCGAAGGAAATCTCGCTCGAGCGAATAAGTCATAATCCTCTATGAACTCCATCCACCTCCTCTGCCTCAAGTTCAAGTCTTTCTGTGTAAACAAATATTTCAGACTCTTATGATCCGAGAATACCTCAAATCTCTCACCATAAAGATAATGCCTCCAAATCTTCAAGGCAAATATCACAGCTGCTAACTCTAGATCATGCGTAGGGTAATTCTGCTCGTGAGTTTTCAACTGACGTGAGCCATAGGCAACTACTTTCCCTTCTTGCATTAACACACAACCCAGACCCTCTCGTGAGGCGTCACAATAGACTGCATAACCCAACCCTCTCTCCGGAATAATCAAGACTGGAGTAGTGGTCAGTCTAGCTTTCAACTCCTGGAACGACTTTTCACAAGTCTCACTCCATACAAATTTGACTCCCTTCCGAGTCAATCTAGTCAAAGGCGAAGCTAATCTGGAGAAATCTTTCACAAATCGGCGATAATACCCCGCTAACCCCAGAAAACTGCGGATCTCAAACACACTCTTAGGCTGTGCCCAATCTTGCATTGCCTCAGTCTTGGATGTATCAACAGACACTCCTTCCCCAGAAACTACATGGCCTAAGAACTTGACCTCTTCTAGCCAGAACTCACACTTCCCAAACTTAGCATAAAGCTTATGGGCTCTAACTAATTCAAGCACCACTCTCAAGTGTTCCGTGTGCTTCTCCTCAGAAGGTGAATAGATAAGAATGTCGTCCACGAAGACGACTACAAAACGATCTAAAAATTCCCGAAATATCCAGTTCATCAAATCCATAAATACAGTCGGTGCATTGGTAAGCCCAAATGGCATCACCAAAAACTCATAGTGGCCATAACGCGTACGGAATGCCGTCTTCGGAATATCCTCCTCCCTTACTCTCAATTGATGATAACCCGATCTCAAGTCTATCTTTGAGAAACAACGGGAACCCTTCAACTGATCGAACAGATCATCTATACGAGGCATATGTACTTATTCTTAACCGTAGCCCGATTCAATTTCTGGTAATCTATACAAAGTCTTA